TATACGGACATCCTAAAGGATCCTAGAAGGATACTAGAAGAAAGCAGCATAGTCAAAAATAATCCAGCACACACATACATAGAGGGACAGAAAGAGCAAAATCAGATTTCAAGTGTAGGAATTATCAGACAGATAATAAATAAGAAGAAAAGTATGCTTAAATTTAGAGAAATAAAGAACAAGCTTGAAAACAGAAAACTATATAAAGGGCAACAGAATATCTTAACAAAAGCACCACAGGAAAGAAAAATATAACCAACATAAAAATTAATGGATTTAAGCTCAGCACCTGGAGCTCAGTGGTTGGGGCATCAGCCACATACAGTAGAGCTGGCGGGGTCGAACCCAGCCCGGGCTTGCTAAAAACAATGACAACTACAACAAAAAAATAGTTGGGCATTGTGGCAGGCACCTGTAGTCCCAGCTACTTGGGAGGCTGAGGCAAGAGAATTGCTTAAGCCCAAGAGTTTGAAGTTGCTGTGAGCTGTGAAGCCACAGCATTCTGCCAAGGGCAGAATGAGTACTGAGACTCTGTCTCAAAATTAATTAATTAATTAATGGGCTTAAGAAGTAGTTAAGACACAGCTGTAGAGAGAATTTGAGAACTAAAGGCTAAAGAAGAAACTATACAAACTTAAGCCAGAAAACAACTATTCTAGTTCCTAATAAAGAGGTGGAAAAATATTAGAAAAAAGTGAGGGAAAAAATAAAAGAGAGGTTAAGAGATGTGGAAGACATAAATGTTTAATACACATATTTAATTCAGAAGATGATGAGACAGAGGCTAAAGTACTGTCAATGATTTTAAGTTTTCTTTTGTTTATTTATTTTTTTGTTTTCTTGAGACAGAGTATCACTCAGTTGTCCTGGGTAGAGTGATATGGAATCATATCACAAACATATTCCAGCAACCTCAAACTCTTGGAATCAAGTGATTCTCTTGCCTCAGCCTCCTGAGCAGCTGGAACTACAAAGTCTGGCTATATTTTTGTTGCAATTTGGCTGGGGCCAGGCTTGAACCCACCACTCTCAATAAATGAGGCTGGTGCCCTACTCAATGAGCCCCAGGTGCTGCCCTAATTTGATTTTTTTTTATTTTTTAACTCAAGGCCGATGGAGATAGTCTTAAAAAATACTGATAGCTGGCTTGGCACCTGTGGCTTGGCACCTGTAGCTCAGTGGTTAGGGTGCTGGCCACATACACTGAGGCTGGCAGCTTTGAGCCCGGCCCAGGCACGTTAAACAACAATGACAGCTGCAACAACAACAACAAAAATAGCTGGGCATTGTAGTGGGCTCCTGTAGTCCCAGGTACTTCGGAGGCTGAGGCAAGAGAATCGCTGAAGCCCAAGAATTTGAGGTTACTATGAGCTGTGACACCACAGCACTCTACCAAGAGCAACATAGTCTCAAAAAAAAAAAAAAAATACTGATAGCTGAGACATAGTCTAGGTCAACGCAGGTGGTGGGACCCAGGTATTATGGTTTTCAAAAGGGCTCTGAATGTTTCTGATGGACAAGAGGAACTGAAAACTATGGTCTTTAACTATATGTATGAGTTACTTTCACAAATATAAAAAATATTCAAATGAAGAAATATACACGAAACTTTGTACTTAAATGCACTTAAGAAATAATACATCAGTTACCCAGTTCTCTTTTTTCTTTCTTTCTTTTTTTTTTTTTTTGAGGCAGAGCCTCAAGCTGTCCCCCTGGGTAGAATGCTGTGTCATCACAGCTAACAGCAACCTCCAACTCCTGGGCTCAAGCGAGTCTCCTGCCTCCGCCTCCCAAGTAGCTGGGACCACAGGCACCCGCCACGATGCCTGGCTGTTTTTTGGTTGCAGCCGTCATTGTTGTTTGGTGGCCCAGGCTGGATTTGAACCCACCACTTTAGGTGTATGCGGCTGGCGCCTTAGCCACTTGAGCCACAGGCGCCGAGCCCAGTTCTCTTTTTTCATCAAAAACTTGCAAAATGCTGCTTAGAAGGATCACAAGTAATAGAAAAAAAAAGCTTGCAAAATGGTAGTTTAAGACTTCTTTACTAATGCTTTTGTTGGCCAGGTGAGGTGTCTCATGTCTGTAATCCTAGCACTCTGGGAGGCTGAGACAGGTAGATTGCTTGAGCTCAGGAGTTTGAGACCAGCTTGAGCAAGAGGGAGACACTGTCTCTAAATAAATAAATAACCAGGCATTGTAGTGGGCACCTGTAAGTCCCAGCTACTTGGGAGGCTGATGCAAAAGGATCACTTGAGCCCCAGGTTTGAGGTTGCTGTGAGCTATGATGATGCCATGGCACATGGCACCCTACCCAGAGTGATAGAGTGAGGCTCTATCTCAAAATAATAAATAAATAAAAATAAATTTAAAAATACAAATGCTTTGGTAGGAAAAGTAAATATTAGACATCTTCACATATTATCATGGAGAACTGCATGCTTAAATTAAATGCAGCTTAAATTATTTAATTTAAATTAAATGCAGTTAAATTAAATTAAGTAATACCAATTTTTAAAAAGACCACACTGGTCTGTGCCCTGGTCTGATTTGCCTACTACACATGGGGCCATTTCATTTCTAAATATCATCAGTATGTTCCAAACAATTTAATTCTTTAGAGTACTAACATTGCATGTGCCATCAAAAGGAAACAGATAAAAAACACTTTCCTTCTTTTTTTTTTTTTTTGAGACAAAGTCTTACTTGGTCACCAACGGTAGAGTGCTATGGTGTCTTAGCTCACAGCAACCTCAAACTCTTGGGCTCAAGTGATCCTCTTGCCTTAGCCTCCCAAGTAGCTGGGACTACAGGCACCTGCCACAATGCTCAGCTATTGTTTTAGAAATGGGGTCTTGCTCAGGCTGGTCTCGAACTTGTGAGCTCAGGCAATCCACCCACCTTGGCCTCCCAAGTGTTGGGATTACAGGCATGAGCCTGGTCAAAAAACACATTCTATTAATCTACAGTTCTCTAGGCATCTATAATTAAAACATGATGTATAATTAAGGAAATACATTTCTAATTATGCACAAATATATATATGTATACATCTATATACACACACACATATATATATATTTTGAGACAGAGTCTCACAATGTCGCCCTCAGTAGAGTGCTGTGGCATCACAGCTCACATCAACCTCAAACTCTTGGGCTTAAGCAATTCTCTTGCCTCAGCCTCCCTAGTAGCTGGGACTACAGGTGGCTGTCACAATGCCCGGCTATTTTTTTGTTGCAGTTGTCACTGCTGTTTTAGCTGACCCAGGCCAGGTTCAAACCTGCCAGCCTCAGTGTATGCGTCCGGCACCCTACCCACTGAGCTACCAGCACTGCCGCATAAAGATATTTTTAAAAATCAAGCTAAACAACAATGACAACAACAACAACAAAAAGCCTGGCTCAGTGCCCATAGCTCAGTGAGTAGGGCGCCAGCCACATACACTGAAGCTTGCAGGTTCGAGGCCTGCTGAGGAACAATGACAACGGCAACCAAAAAATAGCTGGGCATTGGGGCGGGTGCCTGTAGTCCCAGCTATTGGGAAGGCTAAGGCAAAAGAATCGCTTAAGCCCAAGAGTTTGAGGTTGCTGTGAGCTGGGCGCCACAGTACTATACCAAGGGCGACATAGTGAAACTGTCTCACAAAAAAAATGGTCAGTATCCAATATTCATTCTAAGTAGTGCTCTGGAAATAGCAAGCATATACAATGAATGATATTCTTAAGATTATAAGAGGCAGATCCAATAATGTCTGATTTAATTGAGAGACATTAATAGATTTCTATTGTAAAATACTCCAAATACATGCTTAGGTCATGTTAGACAGTACACTTGACCTGGTATATCAACACATTCTGCTACATCATCAAATTGTAGCAACTGATTCATTTTTATTGCCAAAGACACAAATGCTTTTTTCAAATCCTGTGAAGACATGAAATTCTGGTTTTCTAAGTTGAACTGGGGCAGCCAATAAACCTTTTCCTTCAGCAGTCCCCAACACTCTCATACCTTCCACAACAACATGCACAGAGCAAACTTTCCTAAAGTGCAAAAGTAGTAATTAAACTGACAAAATTATAACAGGAAATATGTCAAAAAATTTAGGATGAGTTGGATGCTTCTTGGAATCCAGAATTAAAAAGTGAAACTAAATGGAAAACATACACTTGGCTACCAGACATTTCCATTGCTCTCCTGAAATAAACCTATAAATGTTTGCTTCTCTATCTGACTGAACATTTACAATAGAAATAGCTTAAAGTGGAGGATCTATGCACAGCATATTTCTGAACATATTTTTCAATAATGAAACTTTCCAACTAGATACAAGCACTGTAAAGACTATTTTCATTTTCCTATAAATTATTACAGTTTGAATTCTGAAATCCAACTTTAAAGTGCTTGCTGCTGGCACTCCTTTTAGAATCACTGAAAGACATTGCTTCAGTAGCAAAATAAGAAATGAAGGATATTCAAGTTAGATCCCATCATTTTTTTCATCATTCAGGGCCAGGTTTTGTTCTAATTGTCATAAATTTTTAAAAAATGAAGTATGTGTAAAACAATGCTAATAATGAAAGACTACAACTGGATAACGTGGGATAAAAGCAGGTCAGTGTGTAGATACAAGGGGAAAACATTCAAAAACTAGCAAATAAAATCCACCCTTATACTTCTACCTCTACTAAAAAATTATTCTGGGGTATAAAACAAAAATAAACCTCCCACCAGAGATCTTGGAAATCTTGAATTTTTTTTTCCTGCAGAAGGATTTATTATTTTCCACTGAGTGTGTCCATTCATGCGCTTCTTCTTGTTTCTATTCATAGCACCAGATCCTGACTAGCATGCACAACCTCAAAAGAAAAGAAACACTAAATACAAACTGTGTAAAATAAAATAAAATAAAACAAAATTAATAAGCACACGTTGAGAGTGGGTACCCTTGGGTTGGTTCCGTAATGTCTAACGTGTGTGACGGCCACCAGGGAACTCACCTTGTACGCGACGCTGTTGGAGGAATCCACAATGATAAACAGGGGCTTCCTGGTGAAAGGGTAGAGGTCTCCGGGATGAAGGCTGGAAAACAACAGTAACGACAATGAAGAGTTGTATAACTAGTCGGCTAAGTCTCAGAAATCTTTTTTCAGTTTGAACTGTTCATATCTCCTTTCCATCATGGCAGTGGGGAAAAAAACAACAAAGATTTATTAAACAAAGGACAAAAAAAATCTGTATTTACTGGGATAACCAAGTCAGTTTTATTTTAAACAAAAAGTTCAAACATAATTACTATTAAAGAATAGCTAAGCTAAAGACAAGCCTATATATTTAAAGCTGACTAAACATAAAGAATGAAAATCTCAGAGGTCAGGAGACCAGTACTTGTTTTATATTTAAAAGCTTCTTCTTAAGGAAAAATAAGTATTTTGAGATGAACAGTCTGCCATTTTTCCTCCTTTGCCTGCAAAGTGATAAATTTCCCTTTCCTTCTTCCCCAAGACCACTTACTCTTTTCTTTTTCTTTTCTTTCTTTCTTTCTTTTTTTTTTTTTTTTTTTGGTAAAATAGCTTTATTTTCCACCAGAACACAAACCAACATACTTTGGGGTGGGGAAGGAAGGGAAACACAGTCTCGGATGCAGCTCACTGAGGAGAAGCGGGGATGAGGTTACAAAGCCTCACCCTATTGCTTGTACAGCTGAGATAAAGTCATAACCCTTATAAATAGCTCATTATTTAAAAAATATTTCCAGGGCCCACTTGGCTCTGCTCCTGCACAAATAGTCAATCTTTGTGATACAAAGGGTGGTGGGACAGGCAGAAATTTGGAGGCTAGAGAATGTAGAACAGGGGGACAAGCCAATGTGTAAGTAAGGCCCTCCAAAACTTCCAGAAGAGAGAGGCAAGGGGGCCCTGTCAGAGGCTGAGAAGTGTACCTGCAGGTTCTCCCACTCCTGTCCTTAATTCCTGATGGCCTGATCTGTCCCGTTAGACACCTCCTGTGAGGTCCCACAATCAGAGTCTATTCTTTCCTTCCCACCTAATTCACCTCACCAACCAAGTATTAGGATCCCTTATTACTTAGGCCTCTGAGGTCAGCCCCTTTAAATCATGGCCCTTTCTCTTAATAAGAAGCATAAATAGAGCTGGAGGATTCTTCCTGGGAGGAGGATGTTCTGGAGATCAGCCAGTCTTGTGGTCCCCCTTTGTTTCCTAACCAGGCAGTAAATGTGGTGCTGAGCCCCACGTTCACTGGTAGAGATCTCGAAGAGATAAGCAGTACACAAAAGCAATTCCTGGGTGTCTCTGTCACCACTTGGGAGATGGTGAAGTTCTTGAGGATGCTGTTCATCATATATCACTCGTGCAGCTGCTGCAACTTGCACAGGAAATTCACCAGGTACTCGCACATGGACAAGCACAGCAGGCAGGACACAAATCATCCTCCAGCTGGGCCCGCTTCGTCTCCACTTTCTCCACCACCTGCTTGGCAAACAAGCAGACCCTGGAGGTCATGTGCTCCAAGTTCTCATACTGGCTGCTCACTCTGTAGAAGCCACTGCTGCTGCTGCTGCTGCAGCTGCCACTGCCAGCCCTTGCCTCCTCACGCTTGGGCTTCAGTTCAGATCCACCCAGAGCTTGACAAGGAAAAAGGCATGGGGTGGCCCATGATCATACAGCTCTCGCAGATAAACCCTTTTTCTCAGGGAATTGTCATAAAACTGGTGGACTCCACACTCTAAAGGGAGGGGTGCTCTGGGGCTGGTGCAGTGCTGGCTGTGTAAGAACAGGTGTCTCTGGTATGAGTCAACTGCATCTGGTGGTTCCACAAAGGCAGAGAACTCTATCAGGTGCCAGGAGGCAGAGCCCAGGGCCCAAGCCTGCCAGTCTGGGGGTGATGGGGCAGGTGGGAGCAGGGGTGAGAGGGGTTGGGAGGACTTATACCCTGGGAGGTCAGTAGATGGGGCAGTCAGTGACAAGGAGAACAATGTCTGTGAAAATGGCTTCATATATGGAACATTCCAGCGGGTGAATTAGGTGGGGAGGAAAGAATAGACTCTTATTGTGGGACCTCACAGAAGGTGTCTAAAGGGACAGATCAGGACAAAACTAGAAAAGCTCAGAGGCCTGAGAACCAGCAGGACCCAGTCCAGCCTAGAGGAAAGGTGCAGAGATGAGCTGGGCCGAGGACATGGTAGCCATGGTCTGGAAAGCCTTGTCCTTAGAAACCTAGTCCTTGAGCTTGGACAGAATTGTCTCTGAATGGTCAACTTATGGCTGTGAACCTCTGTTTGAGGAGAATGGTTTTACTATATTCCAATATATGTGGCGGGATGTGGGGAAAAGTAGCTGTTGAATGGAGTCTTGAAGTGTGACTTGATCTTATAGACATCAAGAAAAATTCAGAGCTCAAATGGTCAACCTGTCACCACAGAGTTAAAATGTTAGACCTCTCAAGCTCTCACTCTTTCCTTGCTAACTTTTCTTACGAATGTTGAAATAAACTTATTGTGTATGGAATTTATGTTACTATCGCATGACTAGAGTTCTAAAGTAAAATCTATAGAAAGTTTAAAAATAAATAAAGCTCCTCCTCAAAATACATTTTTAAAATGAGATACAATAACATAATCAGATTTGTCTATTGATGAATCTCCAAAATTTCTATTTTAAAGATTTTTAATATTTCAAATAACATCTTAATATTACAATACCAACATTAATATGGGAGACAATAAGTAGGGAACTCCTTTTCACTACCCTTTATGTTTCCTCTGGACATCTGCTTCAGGGTCGATCACAAGGATACCTGCTGAATAAGCAGAATCACAGCCCCACAGAACATCTATGGAACCCAAAGCCGAAGTCCAGGAACATGTATTTGAGAGCCACTGCTGGCATGCTCTGTTTCCCAAGGCTTAGTAGATAATCTGTGTATGTGTATAGATATTAATGTAAACATGTTTCAATGACAAAGATTACCAAATCTCAATATATTTCAAATATAATTTTTCTTTATTAATTAAAAGTATATATATATATAAAAGGTGTACAGCATGATGAGATGTGCGCACACACTGTGTAGTGATTACCATGATCTACTAATCAACACATCATCCCCACACATCACTACCCTTTGTATGCATCTGTATGTGTGGACAGTGAGGACATTAAGATAGGTTCTTTTAGCAAATTTTGAGTAAGTAATACAGTATAAACTACAATCACCATGCTGTACTTTAGATCTTACTCATTTTACTTATTTTTATTTATTTACTTTTTTGGGAGGGGACAGAGTCTCAAGCTGTTTCCCTAGGTAGAACCCAGTAGCATCATCATAGCTCACAGCAACCTCCAACTCTTGGGCTCAAGTGATCCTCTTGCCTCAGTTTTTTCTATTTTTAGTAGAGATGGGATCTTGCTCTTGCTCAGGTTAGTCTCGAAGACATTGTGGCAGGTGCCTATAGACCCAGCTACTTGGGAGGCTGAGGCAAGAGGATTACTTGTGCCCAGGAGTTTGAGGTTGCTGTGAGGTATGTT